AAAAACAAAACAAAATGCCTGTTCTCGATCAATCGCACATCCATAATGTTTGTATGTTGATACGCTTATAAATAACATTAACGTAAAAGTCGAAACAACCTAGACTAGAAGTCAATTCACCAGTCCAGCCAGCTATGGCTCCCTAAGTTGCTTATATTTAATCAGATACTATTTCGTCATCATGCTTTGTTACCTTACCTGTTTATTCCTTATGAGGGTGTTTTTGTATGGCAGGATGGCGCAAACGGAAGTCCTTCGCAGGTCTATGGTTTCTCATATTTAAATCATCATAACTCTGAAGATAATCATTTTTTTTAATTTTTTTTTTCAAATTTATTATCAATATACATAACTTGATAAATACAAACACCAAAATAGACTCTATTTAGTTTCCCTTTAAGAAAGTCCAAAAGTTGTCCAAAGCGATTGTAAAGTTGGTAGATTTGAGTGTTTATTTGACCAAAGTTGTTGTTATATCGAACCCTGCAGTTATAAAGTATGAAAAATGAATAAAATCACTTTGAAGCCTTCCAAAAAAAAAAAAAAAAAAGAAACTCCAAATATGTTAGAATTTAAATATTTCAGATGTGATGAAAATTATCTTTGTATCGTTATCGGCACTGATTCATCAACCGAATGAGATCCACTTTCAATCATACATGTATATGCAACATTTTTATGCCTTTTTATAACAATTAAATAAGGCAGATAAGGAAGAGTTGACAAGCTGTTTGAGGCCTGTAGCTTACAGACATGATTAGTTTTAGGACAGTCTGTGTCATTTTCATTGACTTGTGGATTTCTCGAATATTTTTTATTATAAAACACCACTGATTGCTTATATTCTGTATTCATCTGTATCCGTAACGCCATAAGTTACAGCGTGCTGTAATTTTGCGGTATTTTATGGGGTATTTTCATCCTACCATATTGGGAAATACATACAAATTCCAAATATGGAATGATTATGCGTGTAAGCGTCCTACCATAATAAAAACATGGCTGCCACCAGGATTTGACCAGACTCCATACAAAGAAGTTCGCTTATTCTTTTCTAAACTTTTTAGATTTCGGCATTCCCATGATGTATCCTTGGTAGGAAAAGATGTAGAATATAAGATTATTACAAAAATACTTTAAAGTATGCACTCAGACAGTACGCTGTCACATCGACCACCGCTGCGCGCCGGCTGATACTGTCGCTTTACTGTCTTCGTGCATACTTTGAGCTATCTTCGTAATAAACTCTGCAGAGTTTATGACCTGTATATGGCAAATAATGTTGTTCTCAATTTTGTTCCAGAAAAAATGTAGAAAAGCGTATGTTATTAGACCATTTAGACGCTGTGATGCTAGCAGTTGATGAGATTATAGATGGCGGGTAAGTCCACTGATCATATTAGCAGTGAATATTATTGAAGGAGGGTCAAGCTGAACTAAAAAATTATATTTTCCTTTTACTGTTTATAATATGGATCATTACCATTAAGGGGGTTGATCGTTATAAAGTTAGGGTGGAATTAGGGAAAAAAATCTGCAAGAAGAATATTAGGAAAAAAAATTCTACAGGGAAAGTTATGGAAAAAAAATGAACAATCACACACAAATAAATTTTTGTTATAGCATTATCATTGTGGAAAAAACAAAATTGCTGAAAACTAGGTAAAAAATATATTTTGCAAGGTAGTACCGGTACCCTCATTTTTTCCAAAGTATTAATTTCATATCTCAAAATGTGGCTGATTGATTTTTTCAGAATATTCATTATTAATATTTATTGATGAAATGTCGACACTAGAGATATTTTGAATTTACGGTGACTTAATTTTTCCTGTTACATATGCTGAGGACAAACTAAAATTACTGTCCATAACATAACATTATAATAAAAATTCAAATGTAAACCCATAAAAAAAAACAGATTTTTCAGAATGATAGCTAGAGGGTGCTTTAACATTTTGTGAGGGCACTGTTTCTTACATAGATGATAGTATGCATTGTATTTGCTTGACAGAATCATACTGGAAGCTGATCCTAATGCTGTGGTGTCAAGAATAGCATTAAGAATGGATGACGTACCACTAACAGAACAAACAGTGGCACAGGTAGGAATATAAATAACATGATGATCTATGACATCATTTACACTATGATGACATCATTATTGTAGCAAATGCTCATGATAAATTCATCAGCATTTGAATAATGATGCGACCAGATATCAACATTTGAATAATTATGACATCAGACATCAACATTTGCATAATGATGACATCAGACATGAAAATTTGAATAATGATGACATCAGGCATCAACATTTGAATAATGATGACATCAGACATGAGCATTTGAATAATGATGACATCAACATTTGAATAATGATGACATCAGACATCCAAATTTGAACAATGATGACATCAACATTCGCATAATAATGTATTCATTATTTTAAGCCTTTGAATGCCAAAGTCAACATTCACAAATGCAAAGATCTCACCACACTGACTGTTGGTGGTCGACCTAGACGGACACTCAGAATTAATGACCACCACAAAAATGTTGCTGACATGAACAATGGTTCTATTGTCATTATAATTACTCTCCGGTCGTCATGATGTGCGAGTTAGAATTTGTAAACACTAGACCTAGTCTGATCCCCAGACAAATTTTCTTTCCTAAAAAAATCTCTAACTTGTGATTGTATGCATGTTTCTGGGTGCTCTCGGGATTTGTATGAGTGTTCGTAAATATGATAATTGAGAACAGAAAACAATAAATGTCAAATATTTACATATCCTCGGGGCGGAGCTACGTCACAAGACGTTCCACGTTGCGAAGACACACACCACTGTACCACGTATTTCTATGGTCTCGCCGAGTGAAGAGCCGGTGAAAATTCAAAAAAACAACAGGAACTCAACTTTGAAGTAATCCTGAACAATCAAATTTATGTGCGTTTACACACGCAGGGGTAATCTTGTTACACTGTTCAGGGGAGTCTCAACAACCATCCGAAAGTACTGTTTTTTGATAGTTTTCGGCCTTTGTTTTCACCGTGATGGTAGCCATGCGGTGAAAATGCCCAGATGTCCTCCCCCAAGGATAGTGGTTTTAGTACCTGGGCGACCTTGTAATTCACCTGTCCATGGAGTTCTGTGCGTGAACAAGATTCTGACTAATACTATAGCAACAGCTCACCTGAAAACAGACAAGCAATGTGCTAGTACTGTAAATTCTGTATTAGAAGCTGTGGCTTTAATTGAAATGGTACAGTGCTTCTATTAGAGCATCAAATGGTGAAATGCTGGTTCTCAGTTGTCCTAATACAGATTTTATAGTAAATATTTGGTCAGAAAATACTTCAATATCTAACCTTTTCACCACTTTCTCACTCAAATTTGTATGCATTTTTTTTTCTTAATTTCTTCAATATTCAATAACAGTCAAACTTTGAGTAATTTTTCAGTTTTTACTAAAAAAAAATTTGCTATTTTAGTCCTAATGTTCTGAAGGAAAGTGCAGACCATAAGCTCAACTATTTAGTG